GTGAAGAAATTAATGGTTTAAACCTCTCTTGAACTCAATTCTCCCTTTTGAAGAATTTATTTATTTGTTTTTTAACTTACACTCTCTTAAAAAAATTTAAAATTTCTCTTCATGAAACCGGACACTAAAATATTTTGCTCCTTAAAAAGAACATTCGTAAGATTAAGAAATCTTATGATTGAGTCGTATTTTAAATAAATGAACAAAATAAGTTTGAAACATATACTCCCAATACGAATTCATAACTTAAGATCACGGAGAATTTATGTCCAATATTAAGATTATGGATAATTTATGTTGAATATTAGAATTTAATCTTTCAGGTGAGAAATTAGAATAAAAATTGTTATACTTTTATTAATGCACCATCTTGAATAATTTATTACCCTTTGACGACATTTTAATTTCACTATGAAGATTCGTTAGCCTAAATTAACCATATCTATATCGTCATGCGGGTGCCTCAACTCTCCATGTCTAATATTATATTTGAACCTAAATTCGTTTGGATAAAACCAATGTCTAATGGTACCTAACTCCATAGCAAACGAGTTATTAGCGATTTCTATTTTTTTAGCATAAAATTTTATTTTGCGGAATTATGGTCTCACGTCACCTATATTGTGATATGTTGAACACTTGTCACATTCTGCTTGAATCATTATTTGTATTAGCTGTTACATACGAAAAAATGTGATGAGCTTTAAAATATGAAACCCGAACCTTGCCCCTCTTTCATCCTCATCTTTTAATATTTGAAACCCTAATCTATGTCTCCCCTCATCCTTAATACTCTGCATTTTTTTTTTTTTTGAGTTCTCAAAATCACAAAGCAACTACCAAGAGGACGTCATATACTATGATTTCCTCTTCACTTCACTTCCTTGTTCCACGCTCATTAGCTTCATGCATCTATTCTCAGTCAAACGAATCCAAATCGATCTGATTTGATATGAATAATAATTTTAGTATTCCATAAGTTATTAAATATAAGGAATGGATTAAAAATGATAACAGTAAAATTTTAAATATTTTTTTTTTTGTAATAAAAAATATTTTAAGACTAAAATAAAAAATAAACCGAAATTCAAGAACTTCATTGGTAATTTACCATTTTTTTTATAATAATATAAATAAAAAAAACTAAACATAAATTTCACTTGACCAAAATTTTGCCTAAACGTACCAAAGAGTTAACCAATCAAATGCTCTCGGCTTTTTTTTTTACTACAATGCTTTATCTTTTTACCATAATTTCTTCAAACTCGTCATTAATCTACACAACCAGAAAAAACAAAGCAGGGTGGAATGTTTAATTAAATCCAAACACGCCTTAAGTGGCTATAATAATATATTTTAGTTACTTTGGAAAAGAACATATATATATATATATATATAATATAGTATATTAACGTTAATGCCCACATGCCATGCATATTCTGGAATATTTTCATAATAACATGAAAGAAGAATCAAATCAATTGGACCCCTTTTTACATCTGGTAAATGTGGGCATTATATATACATATATATATATATATATAACCATATACATGCACAAGCATTTAACAAAAAGAATATATATACACACACACGCACACACAAGCAAAACACAACACGTACATATATATATATATATATATATATATATAGATGTTCTTTCTACTTATTCTTCACAGCACACAACCTTTTTTAAACGGACAAAGTTATTGGAGGGGTTCGAAGATATATCACATATACATATATATGTTTATATGCATATATAATCAGAATAAAATAATAAAAGATTCAATATGGACCCTCCCCCCTCCCCCCTCCCCCCCAAAAGAAAAGAAGAGAGAAAGGTTTTTATATTGAGAGAGATTTATGAAATGTTAACAAGTTGAAGTTGGCAACAAATGAAATTGGTTGAGAATAAATACCCATGAAAATGAAATTGACACCTCTTAAGTACTCTTTCAATAAAAGAGTTCAAGAGAATATGTGAAAGAGATTAATTGAAAAACAAGGAAGAGGGGCATATAGCATATTGTATATATATGTGTGAAATTTTTGGGTACTTGTCAAGGGGGACTATTTTTGGAATGTAAAAAAAATGAAATGGATGGTTTTAAAAGGGTCACCTTTTTACACGAGGAGTATTTGCCGTTGTATATATCCATATCATCGTCCTATGTACTTAACAATAAGGTAACGTGGTATCTCTGGTGGTTTCATATTTATTTTATTTTTGCATAATTTGAACGCTATATATGTTCATATCGTCTAGTGGTATTAGAATATCTTTTTTAATCTTTCTTTTTCTTTAAGATATTATGGTTTTCGCTATGTAATAAAACTACACAATTGGTATAAAGTACTTATGCAATTTGGTTGACATAACTCGCCATCTATTTCTTGTCTGAATTATTAGTACTTTCATTGCTTTTTTTTTTATATATATATATAAAATTTGAATTTGAGTTTTAAAATGTGCAAGCGACCGAATTTTCACAATAAAAAAATTGAATAGTGTAACTTACTTGTATAAAATATATAATAACATTGATCATGTGATATTCTACTCTCATGTTGAAAATATATGTGTCCGTTGAATTTCATATAAGTTAATTTTAGATCTCGTGGAACTTCATATAAGTATTTAAGTCACATTCTATTAATAATTTAAATTTAAATTTTTAAAAATAAGTAATTTGATTCCAAAAATTAATTGGATCAGTGGTGCTTAAGTTCAAAATATTATAAATAGTATTATAGCACGTGCTAATTTGGTGATTCTGGATTAATATGATCTTGAATTTTGTTAAAATTTTAAATTATAATTTGTGATTATATGACGTATAATTTTGATAAAGATAAATTCGTAGAAAGAAATTAAAAATAAAAATATTAAAATAGAATGCATAAGTACACTAAATATGAAAAACTTATTAAGTAATTAATTCATAAAATTTTTCATTAATTTATTTTCTTAGTTAATAAAGGATAGCTTTTATCTTGAAAAATTATAAATTCTTTAAATATGACAATAAATCTCTTAATTTATTTAAAATTAATAAAAATCTTCGGTAAATATAGACTAGTTTCAGCCACTACACTAAAAAAAAAATTACTTCTATAAATATTTCAAAATTGTAATAATTTTATATTACTTCCCATTAATTTTGACAAGAAAAATACATCATCTCCATAAATTAAATAATTATACATCTTAAAACCTAATATACATATATATATATATATATATATAATATTCACCTTTTGTGTTCCTATAATAAGTAGAATAATTTATACGGCATTCATAAGTCTACAACATGAGAAACTAGTAATTAGCAACATTGTTCCAATGCTACCCATACTTTTTAAGGCAAGCATGTATAGCTATAATAAGTTACGTTAGGTCAAAGATAATATATTTTTTTCTTCATTCAATTTTTAGTTTTATGAGAATTTATTGTGGAACTTTTAAGAAAAGTTGTCAATACCAAAGATAACTTAAAATACTTTTTTTTTTTAAAAAAAAATTATGAATAATACGATTATGTTTCTTTTATGGGAACAATATATTTGAGTTGTAGATTGTGCGTGCATAAAATATTTTTTATACATATAGAAGCACCTATTTTTGTATCAGTTTGATGGCCATTTTTTTAGTAATAAAAATATCATCGATTCAAAATTGATCCGATTGCATCAGACTAGAACTGAAAATCTCTTAAATCCCATATGAAATAAGGTTTAGTCTCATTTAGTTTTGACCGAATTGATCAAATTTATTTATTTTGTATTAAAATATTTAATAAAAAATTATATTAACTCAATATAGGAGACCATAAAAAGAGGTAATATATAACAAAACTATTGTAACGACCTCGGAATTTCAAAGGAAATAAATCATAAATTAAATACGGAAACAAAATAATTAGTTAGGGTTTACATTCCTTACACAATAACTTCAAGTATTAAATAGTGCTACGAAAATTGTCTTTTTGAAGAAAATACAAAAAATTAAAGAAATAAACGAAAAATAAAAGGAACTAGTATTTTACTCGCAACCCTCTTGTGAATCGGGCTCTGTAT